CTCTGTGAATTACATTATGCTTGTTAGTGGCTGCCTTTGATAAAACATAATAGCAAGACTTCTCTTTTACATCATAACTCATTTTCAATATTGCTTTTTTCTGTCCTTGCCCACTTGATTGATTACATGGCACTCCTAAGAAGTTCGGTAGATGAGGATTGAGGGCCGGAGTTGTTCTTCTAGGGTTGGGATAAGCTGGCAGCCAAAGGAGACAGACTTCTGAATGGTCAGCCTAATGTGGAGGTGGGGATGAGGGTGGCTCATCCAATATAATCACGAACTAAGTTTGGTAAGATGTACCAAAGGAAAATAGTAGCATGCCCCTCCTTCCTTGGACTGGATGGCCAATCAGCAAACATGAAGGCTCCACAAAGAGAATTAGAGCTGTGTTCTCACCCAGAAAAACCAAAGTGGACTGACATTAGGGCCAGATCCAAGGCATGCCTGGTTGTGTCTGCTTAACTTTACTAAGGAAATGTTTCAACACAGAGTTTGAACCACAGCTGTTAACTTACTATCTTCTTCCATTTTTCCTGTACCAGTGGCCTGTCCTTCAGCCTCAAGCTGCTGTCTTACATTATGGTGAACTGCTAATTCCTTGCTAATTTGTTCTGTTAGATTTACCTCACACTTGCCAGTTGTCTCAACCTATTGCTCCTTGAGAAATAATACAACAGCAAGAGCTCACACTTGTCCACCACTTTACAAGCTATATTATTTAAAGTTGATGTCATATACAACAGGAATCTCCAGACCTCTGAATGAAGTGGCTGTTGACCGATTACTTTTCAGCAATAACATTGAATGAAGGAGCCCTGATTAATCTTGTCTGTCACAGCACAAAGTCCACCAAACTATTTTATTTATATTAGTCACATTAGACTATCACTTTAGAAGGTAATTTCTATAATTTCATAAAAATGCCCTAAAGTCAAGCTGGGCGTTTGAGGTGCACACCTTTAGTCCCAGCACTCAGGAGGCAGAGGCAGGCAGATCTCTGTGAGTTCCAGGCCAGCCTGTTCTACAGAGTAAGTTCTAGGACAACCTCCAAAGCAATACAGAGAAACCTTGTCTCAAAACAAAACCAAAATAAAAACAAAAACAAAACAAAACAAAAAACAAATAAATGCCCTAAAGTCAAATTATAAAAATTAAATGAGTATCATGGATTAAAAGGAAATTGATCAAAGAATACCTTTCTTTAAAAAAGCAAATGAAGCCAGGCGTTAATGTTGCATGCCTTTAATCCCAGCACTCAGGAGGCAGAGGGAGGCAGAACTCTGTGAGTTCGAGGCCAGCCTGGTCTCCAGAGTGAGTGCACCAATAGGCTCCAAAGCTACACAGAGAAACCCTGTCTCGGAAAAAAAAAAAAAAAGCAAATGAAGTAAATAAAATAGTGTTAAGTTTTTATAAAATGTAGTTGAGGTCAGTGAAAATGAGTTTGATGAGAAAATGTATAATTGATGCAATCTTTCAGGAACTAAATTTGAGGAAGAATGCCCATAATATTTAAAATATGTATTCTTTTGATGTCCTTTTTCTATTATCCTAAGGAAAATACCTGAAATTCAAGGGCTTTTAAAATATATAAATAAAGATCTTCTTCGAGTATAAATCATTTATAACCAAAGAAAATTGAATCCAATATAAATGGATGGGTAAAATTACAGTCTATGTACAAGATGGAACAGTATATAGTCACTAAAAATACATTTTGCTAAGATTTTTTAATAACACCAAGAATGCTTCTGATGTTCTACTAAGTGAAGGTATCATTAAATTATGCCTTGAAATTTAATCTCAGAAGTGACAGAGTAGTAAAAATAGGACAATGGATCTTAATATTGCCCTATGGTTTCGTCTTAAGCTATTTGTAGATTCTAAATCAGAAAATGAATGTCCACAGAGATTCCTATTGTACTCTACAATGAAAGGTTCTTGGTCTTGTGAGACCACCAGTGACCAGAATGCTCTGAGGGGGAAATGGTCTGGTGAACTTCATGCTGTGACAGACAAGATTAATCAGGATTCCTTGCTCAATGTTTATGGCTGTAAAGCAATCAGCCAACAGTGGTTTCTATGAACCTGCCACATACCCTCCCTCGGAGGTCTGGAGACTCTTGTCCAGGCTAGACCAAAGTACCTCCAGAGATGACAAACAGTGACCATTTCCTGTCAGGTAGTGATGATGCTACCTTACGGTCACAATCCTAATGGGATTCAAAACTTGAGACAATTTCCTCTGAAACAGAAGTGCAAACATTAAACTAAGGAAACCCGTCCTGTGGCATGCTGACAGGAGGAGAAAGGCTTTTCCTGGAGAGCTCTAGAATGGCTCCTGGGAAACAAGAGAAAAGGAAGACTTACAAAAGTGGATTTAGTTACAACTCATATTCCAGTCAAGTGGAACAAGGTAGAAAGAAGCCATTGGCAGTGGAGGAAGAAGCCCTGGCATTTCCTGGGCCCAAAGAAGGAAGGGGGGTCTGGGAAGCAGTGGTGTGTGTTCTCGATGGCATTAATTCACTTCCTCAAGTCAGTAAATAGCAGGCATAACTAAGTCTCTACTCATTACTGAAGACATTTTTGGTGCTTGGCTCACTTGTTGAAACACTGAAAACCACAGCACATGCCACAAACTCTAGTCAAAGACTTGCACACACTGTTTTAAACAACTGTAATCCCTCACCATTGGATTATGCCTTTCAATTTACAAAGGTTTTCTCTGTGGCTTATCTCATTGCTCTGCATAGCCACCCTAGGAGACAGGCAATGTTGTCACCATTTCCACGATAAGGGAACTTTTTTCTTTATCTAATGAATCCTCCCTGGATACCTCCCTAGCAAGGGACAGTTGTGTTTAAGACCTCCAAAGTCCAGAGCTGTCCAAATCCCCTTTGCTCTTTCTGGGCGTGATTTTAATCACTGTCATCTCTGTCTCCTTAGATGCTGGAGTACAGAGAATTCAGTTTAGATTGGGTTCAAGCTCATCAAAGAGATTGTCTCCTTTCAAAGGGTTTTCACACTTCATTTGTCCTTACAGCTTCTCAGGTAATTCAGACAAATTGAAAACTTTACTTTAGTCTAAATTCACTGAAGGCAGAATAGGAGCAGGGGGGGTGGGCACCGTGAATTGACTCTACCTTCAGATTCACTGTGTGTTACAGACTTGAGCAGAGACTAGCTCCAGCATACTGAGGACAGTATGATTGTCCTTGCCAAGTTGTAGGATTTCTGGAACTATGCAGTATATAACAATCTCTCTTCATGAATTGCATGTTTGTTGCATTACTTTTACAACCAAAAGCCCTTTTCAACAAGAAAAAAAAAAAAAAAAAAAAAAAAAAAAAAAAAAAACAAGCTCATATGGTTTCAAGTAAGCCCTTCACTTCCAGAATCAAATATGGCTGCCAAGTAATACCACCAGAACCAAATGGATGACATCTGGAAGGGAGAATTGAAAGCCTGCAGTTTCATTACCCCCACCTGTGTCTTTATAGGTAGCAGGGAAGAGAGAGGTGAAACAGCAAGGAGAGCCCTAAAGCCTCCTTTGGAGGAAGGAGAGGTTACAGTGAACCTCAGATTCCTTGTCTGCATTGGCCCCACTTGCAGAGCACATTTCTAATGGAAAAGGGTGGAAGGCTGCATGTTAAGTAGTCAAGCTCAGCGGGTCTTTATAGCTCTTCATTTCCCCTAAACCACAAATCCTATTGCTCAAATCATTGGGCCGGCTGTGGGATCGAGCTGAGATTTAATGAACATATAAATCAGTGATGCTTATTGAGTACCTCCAGTGTTTCCAGAGCTGTAGAAAGAATAGCACAACATAACTTATACAAATCCTTTCATATTTCTTACTCTGGGATTCCTCCCATCTGCAGCATCTGGACACTGTAAACACTGGCTTTGCCAGACTGAGAATTATTATGAAGCTCCAAGAAGGTAACACACGTGGAGAGGATTTATAAGCAGTCAATGCTAAAGAAATGCCAAGTATCATTGTTATTCAAGGAAGCTTTGGCTCTGGCCTCTTATATAAGGAGCTTAAAGCATAAACATATCAAATTTAAGTACCAGTACAAGAGTTAAATTATGGGAAAGGTAACACTACTGGCGATTTGACAAGATAATGTGTAATTACTCTGCAAGTGAAGGGTAGGGACTTTGAGATATATGACTTTAAACCAGGTAGCAACCTCTGTGAGCTGCAGTGATATGCATGGAAGACACATTGGATCTACTTGGGAAGATGGTTTAGCCCATTTTCTGTTACTGATGGAACCATACAGACAGGGTACTGAAGAAAGATACAGTTGATCTGGCTCATGGTTCTGGAGGCTGGGAAGTCCAAGATCACAGTGGCTGGTGATAGCCTTCTAGATGTGTCATAGGTGACTGGGAGCAAGTGGCTTGGGTCTCTCTTGCTTATAAAACCAATGATTCCATCAGGGGAACCTCATGAATTCATCTAATCTCAATAATTCACTTCCAAAGACAATTACCATGTGCCCTTACTGCTTGACTTCCCAATGCATGAACTTTCAAGAGTCACATTCATACAACAGCAGGGGATGAACAGAATGAAAGTAGCAGAGGCCACCCCTGAAGTTGACCCAAGTCCTGACCTGAGCAGAGAAGACTTGAGAAAATAGGATCAAACACCTTCTAGTCTACTAGGGGAGGGCATCTAAGGTCAGAATTTCTTTATAGTCGGAACATGGTGGCATTGGTGGAGAATGGATACCGACTACCATCATATCCTGCAGATTCAGTTTGGAATCATTTGGGATGCCACAACCAAAGACCACCTAGACCCTTTACTTTTCATCACTATACTCTCCTCTTTGACATTTTCCATGACTATTAAATTGTCGAGTGACTTATGGAAAAAGACAACTTATGGTTGTCTAGCTGCATTCCCTCTCTGAAGGGACCATAGGGATACACCAGCTACAGAACTAATCTCCGAGGAGAGAACATACAAGAAACAAGAAATATGCTTGATCTCAAAACCATTCCTCTAGCTACAGCTATGCTAAGAAAGTCTTTTAGTGTATGAGGATCTACTCTACTGGGTTCCAAGAGAAAGGGAAAAGGCTGAGGAGCCTTTGAATTCATTACCAAACCTAACCCTAACTCTAACCCTAACCATTAGAGCAAGGTACTAAGAGGGTCAGTCCCTTGCCCATTCATTCACAAATCTCACCAAAAAAAAATCTAGTCAATGAAATCCCATCCATTCATTCTGTTGGCTCATGGCATGGGTCACTAGACAGCTCAAAACAAGGTGCTCATAGCTCAGTCTGACACCACCAAACATAGATACTTGGGAAGCAGGTCCCTACTTCTCCCCCTGTCTGTCACAGTCATCCATAAATAACAAGAATGGGGCTCAGTGGGTAGAGAAAATAGCCACCAAGCTTGGGGACCCCAGTTCAATACCTGGGATTAAATCCTATAGGTGGAAAGAAAGAATCTGTTCCTAAAAGCTGTCGTCTTCTGACCTCTACATGTGTGCCATTGCATATGGGCGCACGTGCGTGCAAACACACACACACACACACACACACACACACACACACACACACACAAATAAATGTTTTAAAAACTTAACAATGAAAACAGTAGAAGTAGCTGGAGAAGGAAAGGAATAAACAGGTTAATTCTTGAATTTCTAATAGTACTCAGCAGAATGTAAGCCTGTGTCTCTCCCAGTGAGGAAAACTGGCTATGAAATGAAGAGTTTACTTAAAAAAAATCATCACAGAGCAGCACACAGATAGACCGGGGCTTTTGATGAATGAAATTAATCTCCTCCCAACTTAGCTTTGCTCTTCTTCTCCAAAACCAAGTCAGTCACAGGTCTTGTTGCTTCTCCCTCTAAACCCTCTCCCACTTCTAGATCATTCTCTATCTACACTATGACAAATATCCACGTCTAGTCTCCAGGTCTCAGTCCTGTCCCCTTCTTTAATGAATCTTGTTTAGGCTGGCAGTGACTTCATAAGATGCTCACCTGAATATATGACTCCTTGGATTATTATGTCATGACATCTCCCTGCTTCCATCCCATTGCCTCAGGGATTGAGTCTGGGCTTGGCATGGCTTTCTAGCTTGGTTACAGGCCACGTCTCCAACTTATTTTCTCCTGGTGGCCCCTCTTCTCCCAATCCCTAGACAAGTCTAACTGGATAAAAACAGGCACTTTTTCCATGTGGTCTTTCTTTGTCCTCTGTCCTCCATGATTGGCTACCTCCCATTCATTCTCCTAAAGATCAGCTTAAACCAGCTTAATGGCCCTTTCTTAGTTGGGACTGAAGAAATGGCTCTGCAGTTAAAAAGCACTGGTTGCTCTTCCAGGGGACCCAGGTTCAATTCTCAGCACTCACATGGCAGTTCCCAATCATCTGTAATTCTAGTGCCAGATGATCCAACACCCTCTTCTGGCCTCTGTGGGCACTAGGAGTGCATGTGGCACCCAGACACATAAAAATATAATTTAGAAACGGAAGTCTTTTCTACAAATCGCGCAGTATGTACAAGCATGTGTGCATGTGTGATAGCAGTGCATGTAGATCCTTCCTCAGTTTCCTCACAGAGGACCATAATGGCTTACATACATTCTGTGTCTCTTGCCTATTTCCTGAAGAGGTGGAGACTAGACTAGATGCACAAGGTATGTATGCATCTGTAGTAAGTAGAAGCCATGCAAACCTCAGCCATTCCTCCCTTAAGCTCTGTGGCAGCTGTTTCTGTCTCTGTGTATCTCACCCTAGTGCACCAGAAAGAATGAGAGATTAGAGGAAAGGAAGTAGTGAGACAAACACTGAACATTGACAAAGAAAATATTTCTAGAATGAATCCAGTGTCCTCACTCAGTGTCCTTTTCCACTTCTACAGAATCTAGTCCATCCTGCTCTTTCTCTTTCTAAAACGTCCCTTACATCTGCTCGCATTTTCCTACCCTCATTAAGCCACACCTGACTAGAATATGTCTGACCCGGGACAAACTGGAAGAATTCCCTTGACCTGTAAAGCTGAATGCTTTCTCGGAAGCCACTATCGAGTGTTTGTTTCCCCTTACATTTTCCTAAAGTTGCCATAGTGACTTCAAGGCAATTTTAGACAGGGTAGTTGAGTAATGAATCCAGATGGAGTGCTTAGTGCTACCTCTATTGCATACTGGGGTAACTTTGGTCAAGATGTTTCTCATCTTTTGGGTCTCAGTGCCTAGGAAAACATACTTAGAGAACAAGTCCTGTTGTCCGGGTCCCCTGCTGATGTTCCCTGAGGACCAACACTTGAGTTCCCAAGTTCTACCCATCTCATTCCCATCTGCTCATTTTCCTCTCCTCTTTCCATTCAACCTCTACTAAGCCTGACCACAGCTCAACATGCTACTAGAATATATTCCGTTATTAATTTTATGTCAAATCACATCCCCCACATAAAAAGGCTAAGTACAAAAGAAGCATCCTTTCCATTGTGTTCCAGAACCCCTCTACATTGAAAATGACCTGTTCAGAGGAGCCAAAATGCTTTGGAGTTGAATTCACCAAAGTAACATCCATAAGGTTTTAATTTGGGTTTCCAGGCCTCTGCACATGAGATCTATAAATGAGACGTGTTGTTACAATCAGTCCCGTTGGGAGAGGCTGGACGTAGACTGAGAACAGCTGTAGCACAGTAATCCAACAAAGTCGGCTTCTGAATCAGATATGAGTTATTGGTTCAGTCACAAGGCTGTGGATACGATTTCCCTGTAGGCACTCACACATGGCCTTTGCAGAAATGAAAATATTTCCCCTCCCTACTTTGCTAGTTTAGGTAATAATGTGCTTTCGTTCTGCATATTCTCTCATGTCTCAGCTTTCTCTCTCTTTGTTCTCATTTTGATTTTCTCTGTGAGGCTTCAGAACATCCACCTGGGCAGATGAAACTAACATTTCATGTGAACCCCTGGAAAACCATGGAAGCCAAGGCTGTATGCTGAGAATACGGGAAGATCTTGAGAAAGTCCCACCACCCGCTTTTTGAAAAAGTGTGCGTGTATGCACAATGTATGTGCAGTGTGTGTGTGTGCAAGGTGTGTGTGGACATGTGTGTACAGTGTGCATATGTGTGCAGCGTGTATGCAGCGTGTGCATGTGTGATAGCAGTGCGTGTATGTGTGCAGTATGCACGCATGCAGTGTGCATGTACATAAATGTGCACACCTGTAAGCATGCATCAGATTCAGGGACCAGAGGACAAAGGCTTCTTGTTCTCCTGTATTTAGCTCTCCGCCTTATCAATATGAGTCGGGATCTCTCACTGAATTAGAAGTGCAACCATTTCAGCTGGGCAGTCTTGCAGTCAAGCTTTCAATGTCCACGTCTGTCTGGCCCCAACACTGGAGTAACAGGCATGCCCACCCATGCACAGTTTTTAACTTGGGTGTTGGGAATTCAGACTCAGGTCTCCATGCTTACACAACAAGCATTCTTACTTCCTGAGCTGGCTTGCTAGCTCTTTAGCAGAAACGTTGTACTCCAAACCAATTTCAGGCCGTAGGGATTGAGACTAAGGCCTTGGGGATGTCTCCAGCACTGGAGCGACTCCACTGAAGTCACTGTTTTAAAGCCAATTATGTCCTAAAAATATAGAGACAATAAGAGTACAGAACATCAGCTTCTTGAAGGTAGAGTTTAGGAAATGCTCAAGTCCCCAGACAATGCTTGTCTGTTAAACCAAACTGGGTAGCCCGAGCCTCCGAAAGTGTATCTATTGTGGTTTGGACATAAAATTCCCCCACAGGTTCCACACTGGCCTGCATAAAGGCCTGGGAGTAAGCTTTCTTACGATTCACTTTTAAATTGCAAGTTCAATGAAAGGGATACACAGACAGTTACCTGTCAGGAACACATACAAAGAAGGACAGGAACTGCACCACAGCACCACACACACACCCTGTAGCTTCAGCCTTTTCATCTGTCACCAGAGGGTGACAGCATAACACACAGGGTGCCGAGAAGTGTGAAGTGAGATCAAAGACTCCAGTGTCTTGTCTGGTTCAAGTCTGTTCTGAAGAAAAAGTAACCACAGGGCTGAAGAGGTGGATCAGCAGTTAAGAACAAGCTCTTACTGCTCTTGCAGAGGGACCACAGTGCAGCTCCCAGAACCCACATGACAGCCAATAGTTGTCTGTGACTAGAGGACTTGGTGCCCTCTTCTGGCTTCCTCAGGCATTGCATGCATATGGTGCACATACATATAGGCAAAAACACTCCTACACATTAAATGAAAATGAAGAAACAGAGAGGGGAGACAAAAAGACAAAGGGCGGGAGGGAAAAGAAAGAAACAGAGAGGGGAGACAGACAGACAAAGGGAGGGAGGGAGGGAGGGAGGGAGGGAGGGAATTGTTTTCTTTAGAATGGACAGGAAGAAGTTGATCTGAGGCTGGGAGATGGGAGATGTCCTGTATTTTGCTCATGCAGATTCCAGTTGAAGTGAGAAACACATAAACAAGGACCCGAGAAAAAGAATTTTCTGTGTGCTTTTCATATAGCCCCCCCCCGCCCCCCGCCTCCAGTCACCTCTTAGATGAGTTTTTTCACTTCTATCTATGTCTCTGAGGTCACTGGAGAGAACTCTCCTCACCCCAGCACCCTCCCCTAGCAAGCTTCATAGGGAGCTCTGTTGATCTCCCGCTAAGCTCCTGGGAGGCTTTCTATTCTGTCCCCCTCCCTCCTTTCACACTAGAATTAAGAAACCTGTAAGTTGCCGCTTATCTCATTATCTCCTGCCTTGCATTTTAATGTGTTGCCTCTAAAAAGGCCCCTTGCTTGCTATTCTAGTTATGTGTGTGTTTGTTTGTGTCTCACAGGGAAATGTGCTACCCATCTTCCAGTCATGCACTGCCATCCTCCACCGCTCCAACTTGGTTCTCTCATTTGTGGAAGGAAAAAACAAAAATACAGAGATGGTTTGAATATTTTTTGCATCCATAGGAAGCTGTGAACAGACCATCCTGAGAGTCAGACTCCAAAGCTCTGCACAAAAAAGCAGGTGAAGAATTGGTAATCTTCCCGGGGTACCAGAGCTGGGCCAATGAATAATTCAAGGCAAGAGGCTCTTAAAAAGGCACAGTTACCTGCTTTTCCAGATCATTAGAGACCCTGACAAAAAAGGTTTTATAACCTAATTTAACCAGATAATGAACCAGATCAGCCAGAAAAGAGCAAGCTCTTTATCCTGCCCAAATTATCCAGACTTCCATCATTATTAGGTAACTGACAACCTTCCCCTGGTCTTACCAAATGAGGTTTATATGCTGGATGGGGCTGAATAAGGCCTTGAGTTAACAGGTGATGAGAGGGGAGCATGGAGAATTTCTTCACATGGCTGCTCCTTTTAAGCCCTGCACCTCCACACACAGCCCAGAGGAGGCTGAAAAGCTATCCACATGAAACAAAAACCCCTACCAAGAGGAGACACTAGAAAGGGTGAATCCCTGATTTGGTGATTTTATTTATTTATTTATTGCCTAGATTGATCTCAATAGTGGCTGGTTGAAATTACACTTTTATTTATATGATGTTGTGATTGTTACTGTTGGAACTGCTACTGATAAAACTCTCCATTTGGATTATCAGTGTCTACTTCCTCAGAAACAATTCATTGACCTCTTTGGGGATTTGGCTACTGCTGATAGCAATAGAAGATGCTTAGTGTCCAACATTTGCCTGGTCCTTAACAGTTGTCACTTTAACACAGAAAAGGTTCCTTGGGAAAGGCTTTGTTATTCCCTCTTTTCTTGTAGGAAGACTACAGTTTTAAGGATCCATGGGGCCATGAGGGTCAGTATCAGGCCCTAGTTCAGGTTGGGATAAACCCAAATGGAATTTGTCTGCATGGTCTGGACAGCCCTGTGTAGTCACTGTGCACACATGAATTTCATTACCAGCATTACCTCTAACACTGCTTCAAAAGTAGTAATCAGAAGGGTTGAGGGAATGGCTGGCTGAGTAAGTGCCTGCCACACAAGTATGAGGATCTAAGTTGGAATCCCTGGGACCCACATAAGAGCTTGATGTGTCTATATCCCCAGTGCTTTGGGAGTGGAATAGAGACAGATCCCCCAAGTCTGCTGGCCAGCAATTCTAGCCAATCAGTGAGAGAGTTTATATCTAAAAGATAGTGAGAGAGTCTATATCAGAAGATAAGGTGAATCATTTTTAAGGCAGATACACAGATCCAACCTCTGCCCTCTACAAGAGACTAACACACACATGTACATATGTACACCACCCACACACACCAATTCTTTCAAGATTATAAATCAGGACACTAAGAACATTACAGAAGGACAAAACACAAAATTTGTGATCATGTTTAACCCTCCAGGAGTAGGATACCTTGCTGACTGTGAAGCCATGGTGGAGAGAGTCAACCTGAATTAGAGTCTAGATCTGTTACTTTTTAGTAGTGTAACCTTTAGTGGTATGAAGCTAATCACTCTCTAAGCTGTATTCTCCATTATAAAGTGAAGGGTTGTATTAAAGCAGTTGAGTCATGCATATTATCTAGACTGCAATGAGCACGAGATAATTTTTGATTACTGAATATGGAGCAGAGTCACCATTATGAAAACCAGATGGATGATGTGTTGGGGACCAGGAAATATCATTAAGAAATATCTCAAAGTACAAACCTCCTGTTTAGCTCCAGCCTACAGTTGTATTGCAGATTCGAGCTAATCAGCTATTGAATGACATGGCCTCAGTGGAGAATGTACCCTGGTTTGCATCTCTACAAAACTAAGCATTTGAATAGGCCTGCACCTAGGTGGAGGGCTAGGTGTGTAAGTAACAAGGGAAGATAGAGTTATCTAGCAGAGAGGAGTCAACTGAAGGAGACAGAAATGGCCTTGTGGCCTTGGAAGCATGGTTAGAAAACAGACAGGACGATGCCGAATAAACAAGAGACTCTAGTTTTACAGCATGGAACTGAGAGCTCTCTAAAGATGATAAGATGCCTGTGTTTGGTCTTTATTGCCATTGGGTTGCTAGGAGTTCCCAAGTCCACGCTCCCCCACTCAGGCTGAACCTCATGGCTGCCGTGGCTTGGGGCTGAGACATGCTGGGCCACAACAAAATGGTGCCCAACGTGGGGCCTGAGAATGGAGGAAGAAGCCATGGACACCACGAAGAAAAGGGCACCAAAGAAGCAATGGACAAGGCAGAGGCATGGACACTTCGAAAAGACAGTCATCTCTGGCGAACCAGTTGGAGAAGAAGCACATGCAGAAATAAAGAAGAAAGAAATGGCCAAATGTGGTGAGTGAACAGCGTTAAGTCAGGAATAAAACTGTATATAATTGTAGAAATAGGAAACAGATAGTTGTAATATAAAATAGGAAGACATCAGCCAGCAGCTGACAAAAAAAAAAGGTAAATTGGGTTATTTAATCCTTAAAGCAGAAATGTGCACAAAAGTATATATAAGACAAAAATGTCAGCCAACAGCTGACCAAAAAAGTTAAAATGGGTTATTTAACCCTTAAAGTAAGAGAAGGTGCACAAAGTAGATGTTAAACCCCAGAGTGAAAAATGCAGGTAATTGTAAATATGAAACAGGAATATTAGCCAGATGGTAAAAAGAAGTAAGTTAGCCTTGAAAGTAAAAATGTATATAGTTAGAGAAATCAGGCAGATAATTGTTAGTCAGATGATTGTATATTTATTTACTTGGTAAAGTTTAATAGCTAGGAGAGTTGAAACAAAGTGAAAGCAAGTACGGAGATTTTAGAGTTTAAGAGTTTTAAAAGGATCCTTCCCGCTAGCAAAAGCCACCGCCGTGACTCTGTCAGCATTTCGAGTTGCACCGGGGTGTGAGAAGACATAGGTGTGGCCTCCCATACACACAGGCCCTTGGGAGATATCTAAGAATGTAATGGAGAACAGAGAACTTCCTGCCTGCTAAGGCGCATCTGGATGGTAAAGAATATACAGGGCAAATGATTGGGATGAGCAGAAGAGAGAGTTAATAAGTACCAAGATGGAGAGTCTTCACCTCCTTCATTTTAAACTGGGAATACAGAGAGGCAAATACTCAGTGGTAAAATTCAGCAGGAGCTAAGAGACTTGGAAGTTTTAGCAAAATAGCTTACAGGAGATGGGAAATTTACAGGTTTCCTTGGATCAGAGAGAGAGAGGCTCAGGGGAACATAAGCAGGATGCATGTGCCAATGCCATTCAAACAGCTCAAGGAACTAAAGATGGCTTGTGTCCAGTATGGACCAACAGCAATTTTTACCCAGAGCCTGATAGGGAATATTGCTGTAGAAGTCTTACCCCTAGGAAATTGAAAGCGGGTAGCCAAGTCTGTGGGTCAGGAGGAGAGTATTTGTTATAGAGGGCAGACAGGGACCTAGAGTTAGTTCAGAATTTGTTTCTAAGCCTATATGGACATTATCCAAAAAGGTTAGAGACACAGGTGTTGGAATTTTGATTGTGAAACAGCTAGCTTACGAGAATGCTGGTACTGCATGCCAGGCCGTGCTAAGGTCTCATAGGAAGACGAATGACGTAGGCGAGTTCATTAAGAATTTTTCAGATATTGGAACTAGCTTACACTCAGGGATTAGCTATGGAGGCTGCCTTACAGGAACGTCAGTTAAAAATATGTTATTCCTACAGAGAAAGCAAGGCATTGGGAGGAAGAAATGCACACAGCCTTCTAGAGGTTGCTTTGGATGTGTTCAGGAAGGGCACCAGGTCAGACAGAGTCCCAACAGAAGAGAAAATAGGGGATCAGGCTTGTGCCCAAAATAGCAGCTGCAGATTTTCTAGTGGCCCAGAAGGCAAAAGTTGAGCAAAAGCCAAGGTCAGTCCTGGCAGTGGCCACAGTCCGGCAGCCCTCACCCAGCGGCTCAGTGCCACCTCAGGCCTGAGTCTGCGGTGGGCTGGACAAAATGGCTGACGGGGCGTCAGACCCTGGAGCTCCTCGGGGTAACTTGGGAACTGCCGCCATGGCTGATGCTAGTCAAATGTATATAATGCTATTGATATAGCTAGTCAGAAACTATTTTAAGATCTTATGGAGAGAGAAAGGCAACATAGGTAAATTTAGATCTGTTCAAATTTTGGATGCTCATATTTCAAGGATTGACTATAGCTTGCTACTGTGTTAGGAGAAATTTCAATCAGGGATTTTTCTTTTCAACAAACTGATCATAACCTAGGCAAAGGGAGAAATATGAGACATATGCAAGTTACGAATGATGGGTGTGGCCAAACCTGGATGTGTGATG